AGGACAATCATGTTCACTGTGCCAGATATTTGGACTTGGAGACAATCACATGAAATGCTATACAGTAACTGAAAGAATGCAAATTACAAACGCTTTAAGTGTATAAAGATATAGGGGAAGGCAACAAGCTTCATTAAATGTAATCCTTGAAGGTACTTGGGGGCTAGGATGTATAGCTCATGGCAGTGTTTGCCTAGCATGCTCATAGCCCAAGTTTATCCCTAGCTTAGAAAAAAAAAGTGAGTCTGTGGACAAAAGGACTGAAAACCTAAGTTTAGCATTGGAGGATGGACTAGTTGCCTTATCCCCTAAAGTTTGGTGAATGAACAATTGAGCATGGTGGTTTTGATCTGTTCCAAATACTGAGGGGGTGAAACAGAAGGATTGAGAATTCAAGGCCAACCTAAAGCTACTGTCTGACCAGAGAGAGAACAAACACCACTCTACTGGGAAGACCAAGGAGAATGTAAAGTGCTTATTACATAGAGACCTCAACAGATGACCTTGGCCTCTCAGCTCTACTAAACATGGCTGATTCTTCTGGCTTCTGATACGTGTCTAACAAAAACTATTCAACAGTATTTTTTTCTGATGGCTTTCCTCATGTCCCCCCATTTCTCATGTAAGCAGACGTATCCTACTGCTTTTTTTTTTTTTTTTTTTTTTTTTCAGTCTTTTTGAGACAGGGTCTCCCTGTAGCCCCAGCTGTACTGGAACTCACTATGTGTGCTGGGACTAAAGGTGTGCACCACCACGCCGGCCCTACTGCACTTTTTTAATGGCACTGTATTAGAAGTTCATCTGTCTTTATAATGGTACGGTTCTGTTTTTTGCTTTTTATTTGGTTGAGACAGGGTCTTATTATGTAGCCTAGGTTGGCTTCAAAGTTACAGTCCTCCTACTTGAGCCTCCTGAGTGCTGGGATTACAGATTACAGGATATGTCACCATGCCTGACACCCCGTAGTTGTAATGAACACTTCCCTGCCCTGGGACCTCTGATCTTGGATACTATGGGGCACCTGTGGAGACTGTTAAATTAGGTAGGAAGGCACTGTGGGGTTCACTATGCCCTTCACAGAGGTCTTTTTTTAAATATGTTTTATGGCTGGGCGTGGTGGCACAAGCCTTTAGTCCCAGCACTCAGGGAGGCAGAGGCAGGCGGAACTCTGAGTTCAAGGCCAGCCTGGTCTACATAGTAAGTTCAGGTCAGCTGAGACTACAGGGAGACCCTGTCTCAAAAAGACAAAATGTTAAATAAATTTATTTATTATTTTTATTTTATGTGTATGAGTGTATTGCCTGCATGTTTGGGAGTGCACCCATGTCATGCAATGCCATGGCCACAAAGGTAAGAAAGGGCTTCGTGGTTCCCCCGGTTTAAGGACAGTTTGTCGCCGCCATGTGGGTGCTGGGAATCGAACCTGGGTCCTCTGCAAGAGCAGCCCAGTGCTCTTAACCACTGAGCCATCTCTCGAGCCCTCACAGAGGCCTTCTTAGTAGGTTGGCACAGTCTGCCTTGGAGCTAAAACGTGGTGTGGACTCCTGCAACTAGTCAAGAATCACCCAAAGGATGATGCAAGACTGCCTCAAGACAAACTTACGTTAATGGCCCCATCATAAGCACTCAAGAGGTTGCGGTGGCTACCCACCACTGCTTACCAGCCCAGACAGCACATGATTCTGGATCATTTAAGGAACTATTCTCAACCCACTGCTTCCTGTGTGCAGATGAAAATATGATCAGCCAGCTTCGTGCTCCAGGTGTCATGCTTTCCCTGCCTGTGGCCAGGCCTTCCCCACAGTGATGGACTCCATTCTCCTTCAAGTAAGCCAAAATAAACCTTCCTTTAAAAGAAAGAAAATTAGTCTCTCTTTTCCCCCTCTTCTCCACATTATTATTCTTCACCTGATTCTGACCTATCCATAGCTTTGAGTACTCATGAAAAGCTATAACAAAGTCCACAGCCACCACTAGTCACACTCAGTTTCCTCTGTGTGTGTGAGACAGGGTCTCACTATGTAGCCCTGCCAACCTGGAACTCACTAGGTAGACCAGGTTAGCCTCAGAGATCTGCCAGCCTCTGGGTTTGAAGGCCTGTACCACCATGCCCAGCAGCAGCTACCTCCTAGAGATATCCTTGTCAGCTGGTTCTAGGAAGAGCCTCGAGGCAGGAGACGATGAATACACTCGTTTCCAAGAGAATCTGTTCATCCTCAGTTTCTTTGTGTACGTGTTCCTGTGTGTTGTGCATGTGGATGGGGGTGTGGAGGTCTGTGGTTGGTGTCAGAAATTTTTATTTATTTTTTATTTTTTAATATTTATTTTTTTATTTTATATGTATGAATGTATTGCCTGCATGTAGGTAAGTGCACCCATGTCGTGGAGTGCCCTCGGAGGACAGAAGAGAGTGTCAAATCCCCTGGAACAGGCGTTACAGACAGTTGTTAGCTGCCATGTGGGTGCTGGGATTTGAACCTGGGTCTTCTGCAAGAACACTCAGTGTTCTTGACCACTGTGCCTCTCTCCAGCCCCAGAAATTTTTATGTGTATGAGTGTATTGCCTGCATGTATGTAAGTGCACCCATGTTGTGCACTGTCTACAGAGGTCAGAAGCAGGTGTCAGATCCCCTGGAACTGGAGTTACAGAAAGTTGTCAGCCACCATTTGGGTGCTAGGCACCAAATCCAGGTCCTTTGCAAGAACAGCCACAGCTCTTCACAGCTGAGCCACCCCCTGCCCCAGGCATCTTTTTTAACTGGTCTTCCACCTTTTGTGGTAGGGTCTATCAATAAACCAACAGCTCACCAATTCAGCTAGCCTCAGCAACCAGCTTGATCCAAAGATTCCCTCTGTACCTTCCCAGGCTAGATTATTGGGGCAGCCTGCCACACTCGCCCAACATTTACTTGAGTCAGGTCTACTTGATAGCACAGCACACACTTTAACCACTGAGCTGGACCCACGTACGTTTTTGAAATGGTACGTGTAGTCCAATCTGACCTCGAACTCTAGACGTAGCTGAGGCTGTCCTTGAACGGACACTGATCCTTCGGCATTAGTTTCCCAAACCTTGTATTACAGGCATGCTCGCACTCATGCACACAGACACACATAGACACACACAGCTTGTACTCATTCCTATGTACAAGGCATAGAAAGAAAGTATTAGTATTCATTTAGGTTCAATGGCTACAATGTGCTAGAAGCTGTGCATAAGGCAGGATAATGGTGGATGAGGAAAACCTTGTATAGTGTAGGAGAGGACCCCAAACTAGCAATTCTACAGTAAGCAGATAAAGTTAGGGTTAGAGCTCAGGGCCACAAATGTAGGATATAGGAAGTTCTGGAGAAGTGAAGTCTAAGTGGAGTTCAGGAGACTCCTAGCTTGGCCAGCAGAAGACAGCTGCACCACTCGGGGATTTTAAACAGAACAGGCTGGAGGGGTAGATGGAGGAGTTTGGGCTACATGTGTTAAGTTTGGTGTGTTCATAGGAAGTTTAAATAAATAAGGCCAGTCTACCCATGAGGCAATGATGCCAGATAGGATTTCCGAGTTGTCAGCATAATGCCCGTAACTGAAGCCATAGGTAGACCTGGCATTGCCCAAGGAGCTACTACAAAGTTGGGGAAGGAGGAGAGTAAGCCCCCAAGGGACTGGCCTGAGGAGCAGTCAGAGACTAAGGAACATGGAACAGAACAAACATGACGCCAGGGGAAAGTATCCTACGCTCCATGGACTCGTGTGTGGACAGGAACACAATCCAGATGACCAGAAAGAAGAGATTTACAGTGAGTTTTCAGCAGGGAAGACACCGACCCCATCGGTACACCAGACCCTAAGGATTTCTCTAGAAGGAAACTTCCCCATTTTTTCCTTGTCTATGGCTCCTCCTCTGGAGCCTACTTGCTGCTTCTGTGCATCTGACCCATCCACATCTCTGCAGTCCTGGTGACTGTTTTCAGTTTGCTTTGCATTTCTGGACGACTCCCCAGCTTGTCCCCAGTGTTTTCCTCCACAACCTGCAGTGTCTTTCCCTAACTCCACTGCCCAGTGTCTCCAACCAATCTCAAGGCTTGCCTAGGGACCCTTTCCTTCTAGCACAGGAGTCTGCCTTCCTGGACATGGGGTTCTCTGTGGGCCAGCAAGCTGCGGAAAGAGGGGTCCTTTCAGAACCTTGTAGGCTCTGCTGGCCAGAGAGGAGTCAGGATAGTGAGGGAGGCTGCAAAAGACTCCAGGCCTAGAGGGAGACAGAGAACCCTGAGGGAGTCTGATCAAACAGGAGGCCTTAAAGGGTTTTAAAGAGGAGTGACGGTTACCCAAAGGGACTCTTAGTAAAGAGGCCACTGGCATGGGAGCTGTCAGCTGGAGACCCCCTTCCAGAAGAGACCGCCATGCCTAGCCACAGAAGGTTAGGCTAGGCCCTCTAAGAGGTCTTGCCTTCAGAAGAACTCCACCCAACCCCACCCAACACCCCTAGACCATCTACACTTCACCGCACCTGGGACCCCTAGACTCACCTCACATTTCTTCCCAGGCCCCAAAGACCATCCCCGCACACCTACTGGACATCCCTAGACTGTAAACCCCACCAGCCATGCCTAGACCATCCACACCCCGCCGGACACCCCTAAACTGTCTACACCTCACCTGGCACGCCTAGAGCAGCTACACCCCACCGGTTACCCCTAGACCTACACACACCACCCGAGACGCCTACATTGTCCACATCCCACCTGTCACCCCTAGACTGTCTACACATCACCGGACATCCCTAGACCGTCTACACCTCCACCCGCCCGACACCCGAAACTGCTTATCCCCCACTCCACCCTGACCCCCGTGGACCATCCGTACCCCACCGGGCTCCCCAGGGCCCACATTTTCGACTCCCAAGCCCACACCCCAGAGTTCCGCCCTCCGGGTCTCCGCCGCGCGCCTGCGCAGTTCGCCGAGGGGGGGGGCGAGTGTGCTGGAAGCCCCGCCCCGCCCCGCCCCGCCCAGGAGCCTCCGGGAAGTTTTACCTCCGCTGCACGCCGCGAGGAGCTGACAGTTCGCAGATCGCCGAGCAGCAAGATGATCGCAGCCTCGGACCCCGTGGTCATCATCTCGGCGGCTCGGACCTGCATAGGTGAGAGCCCCCCGGACCGGCTCCGACAGGTCTTCCCCGGCAGGGGCACGGAGGAGCCGGCTGCAGCGCAGGGGAGGGGGCGGCGGCGGAACGGGGACGCCCGCTGCCCCGGCTCGCGTCTGGTCCCGACCCCGCCCCTGCTCGCCCCGCCTCTCGTGCTCCGATTGGCTCCTCGCGGTAGAGCCACCGCTCTGTCGGCCTTCCCATTGGCTGCCGGAGCGAAGCCTGCTCTCTCCGGACTTCTGATTGGGCGGCTCCTGGAGGCACCATCGTCACCCCGGGGAGGCAAGGGCCGGCGCTGGTGGTCCGAGCCTGGGCTCTGGGCCCGGCCTAGCCCTGGCGCTAAGTCCCCGTGCCCTTCTCCCGCCAACCCCAGGGCCTTTGTTTAGAAGCATGCGGCCGCACCCCTCGCCCCACCCCGGGGTCTGCAGGGTCCTCCTGGCTCAGATGTCCCTCTCCTGCATTCCCTTTCAGGCTCCTTCAATGGTGCCTTGTCTACTGTGCCTGTACACGACCTGGGCTCAACTGTCATCAAAGAAGTGCTGCAGAGGGCCAAGGTGGCCCCAGAAGAGGTGTCCGAGGTCATATTTGGGCATGTTTTGGCTGCAGGTAACTGTTCTGTGACTCCAGGAGAGCGCCCTCTACTAGAAGCAGTCCATTCACCCCACCATATACATTATGTGCTTGGCGCTCCCTCTAGGATCCTTCTGTAGCCTTCCTCTACCTTAAGACCCAGCATCTTCACACGCTTCCCCTAGCGGTCCCAGACCACTGACCTGGGCTGCCTTCCGGTTGTCTAGAAGCAGGGCCACGTAGGAGACTGTGCATATTCCTCCATGTCCCCCTAGCATAAGCATGTGTGTGCCTGGCACGGTGCTGGGTACTGGGAGGGTGGCTGCCACACCAGGTTTGCTACCTGTTCTCTTCCCAGCACTGCTGAGCTGGGAACACAGGTTTGCTCCTCACTGATGGGATCCTGAGTCCTGAGAATGCCTTCCTCTTACATCTGGTTCATGCTGGGTATATAGACCAATGACCACTCCCAAGTAGTTAACAACTGGTTGGGGCCCGAGTGTGCAGCTCAGTGGTAGAGAGTGTGGTTAGTATGCATGTGGTCACGGGTTCACACTCCTGCACCCCTACCATACCGTGCTCATGCTCATTTAGTATGCATTTGAATTAGCTGTAGAGATAATTGGTAATATTCAAGACCACTTCTGTTCTTACCCTGCCTGAGACCTGGCCCATCTGTATGTGCCCAGGTTAAATGTTGAAGTATGTAAAATACGACTTTGGGTCTGAAATGCTTTGATTTTGTATTTTTTCCCAGGTTTTGTAACATTTTCAGCTATATAAAATGAAGTGTATTTGTTACTGTACTTGACGTCACCGTCTGTAGGTCAAGAAGCCAGGTTCAGCCACCTGTCCTCCGTAAGCCAATTAGAACAGCCAAAGGAATAGTTGAAAACAGAAAGTGTATTCAGTGTGGCCACATTGGGAAGAGGGACAAAAAGATCCCGTGACTCTCTCAAGCCGTTTTCACAGTACTGAAGTGGAATTAAAGTTTAAACGGAAGGTGGGGATATGTGACATCTGACCAGTCTGGTCAAGGTGCGGTCTGATGTACGACTGACCCATTATTTTCTGGGGTCCAGTCTCTCCAGCAAGGTGGTCTGATAAGTTGTCAGAGTATATGAAACTTCTCTCTGGGAAGCAAATTCCCCCACTGGCTGGTACCAGGCTTCAGCCTCTTCCTTCTCCCAGCACTAGATTGCTAGGGAAATTAGAGTTTCTTGGGGTCCATTATGCCAATAGTCTGGATAGTTACATTGAGGGACACGGGTACTTCCTAACTTATGCAAAGCCAGTTACATCATGGCTGGAACCCAATTCTGAACAGAAAATTTCATTTATGTATATACCTTACATGCAAAGCCTGAAGCATATAAAATGTCTATGATTTGGTACATGAAACAAATTTTGCTTGTCCCATCTTAAGGGGATGGGAGTGTCTTTAACACTGAGCATCCGTCTATTATGCTTTTTGACTTTGACTTGACAGTTGAGGTCTATTGTGGCATTTCAGCATTCAAAAAGATTCATATTGCTGGATCTGGTGGTATATGACTGTAACCCCAGCCCTGTAGAACCTGAGAATTGAGGGTCATGAGTTTTAGGCCAGCCTGAGCTAGAGCTAGACACCTTTTTTTTTTTTTTTGGTCTTTTTGAGACAGGGTCTCCTTGTGGCCCCAGATGCCTGGAACTCACTATGTAGACCAGGCTGGACTTGAACTCACAAAGATCCACCTGCGTCTGCATCCCAAGTGCTGGGATTAAAGGTGTGTGACACCATGCCCAGCCGTATTATAATTATTAAGCCAAATAGTCGCTACAGTCATGTAACAAGTATTTACTGAGTGCCTACTGTGTGTGAAGCACTATTCTAGACAATGGGAACAACCACTGTCTACATCAGGTCTCTGTCAACAGAGCTCATATTCTGCTAAATGTTAGCACTATCCTAGTCAGTCACTTATCAACCTTCAGTCCCTTGACAATGGGGACTATAAGAAATGTATGTCACATTTATAAATGAGTTATAGGTGTGAGCCACCACACCAGCCTGATTCTGTGTGTAACTTTTCACATGTTCTTTTATTCGTGGAATAATGAATAAGCCGTCAGACTTTCCTCTTCAGGTGACGCCTCTTTCTTCACAGGTGGTGCCTTAAGCCAGGATCCTAGGAGTAAAATGCTCTAGTAGAAAAGTTGATCGTGTCCAAATTGTGTCTTGTGTTTATAAAAAGTATAACTAGTTGGTTGTTAATTAAGCTTCTTTCCCATTGTGAGGAGAAGTCAAGTCCTATCCAGAGACAAAGATCTTAAGGTTCTGTCTTCGGGTATTAAGAACTTTGTGGAGAAGGATGCTTCTGAAACACCTAGAGAGTTGCACAAGGCAGTTCATAGCCAGGTCTAGAACGTGACAGGCAGAGAGTACGGCCATGCTGTTGGTGGGAGCTTAGCTGGCCTGCGGGCGGGGCATGGGAAGCGGCAGGTGCTTGGTTGGCAGTTTAGCATGCACTTCTACTTTGGTCTTTTACCTTTCTCCCTGAGGGCTTAGCGGCCTCTGTTCCTTGTTCCAGGTTGTGGGCAGAATCCTACCCGTCAAGCCAGTGTGGGTGCAGGGATCCCCTACTCTGTTCCAGCATGGAGCTGCCAGATGATCTGTGGCTCAGGCTTGAAAGCTGTTTGTCTTGCAGCCCAGTCCATAGCACTAGGTGACTCCAGCGTTGTGGTCGCAGGAGGCATGGAAAACATGAGCAAGGTAAGGCCTCTGAGAGATGCTGCTACTGACTTGACCACCTCGGCTACATGCCGTGCTGAGAAAGAAACAAAACGTGGGTTCACCCCTGCCCTCTGCCTGAGTGCTCACTGTTCTCCTGATGGAAATCCCCCTTGAAGAAAAGCCGACCAGTACACCTGGAACAGAAACAATCCTCTAAGCTGTTGTTCCTGAAGTTCCATAAGATTAGTTGGTTTCTATCCTTGCTTACCATGTAGCCCAGGCTAACCCAGACCTTACACTCTAACTGATATGCCTTGAACACATGCTCTGTCCCCTGAGTGCTGCTGGCATTACAACCATGTACCACCATTCCCAGAAATGCCATGTTTTAATTTTTTTCAGATATTCAAAAGTTAATATTTCAAAAACGTTTTATTATACTTTTAAAAATTTTGGCTGGACATGGTGGCACGTGCCTTTAATCCCAGCCCTTAGGAGGCAGAGGCAGGTGGTAAGGCCAGCCTCATTGACATATCGAGTTCCAGGCCAGCTGAGGCTACAGGGAGACCCTGTCTCAAAGAGACCAAGAAAAAAAAAGTTTGGAAAGCACATTTTTGCCATACCCAAAGAGTTAGTAACCATGCACCGCACCACACCATCCACCTGAGGTGTTCTCATTTTCCCCTGGAGCCAGAATTCAGAACAGTCTACAACAGATGATCAAAACCACAGATCAGAACACAACGCGCATAGACCACTCTCAGCACAGCAGAGAGCTTCTCTGCCTCAGATCCCAGACCAGAGTCCCTTCTCCACTGGGCTTCTCATCAGGGTTTGTGTCACCAAGCCTGTCCTGTCACACTGACACAGTGTGGAAAGATACCTTCTGCTTCTTACTGAAGCAGCTCAAGGTCTGACCTTGGAATCACTGGTCAGAGGCCAAGTCAGCCCAGCCAGTGCAGAGGCTCAGGAAGAGGCAGGCTGAAGTTCCAGAGTGAATGGGGTGACTCTGGTGGGAGGTACGAACGTGCAGTGTTCCACTGAGAGCTGTTGTGTGTCACACAAGTCAGTCTATCGTTAGTGCTGGTCCTGCTAATTACAGGCACGAAAACCGATGGCCAGAGCCACTATGTACATGCAGGGGTCTTATTTGTTTGCGTAACAAACAAATTTATTTTCTTGGGTCTGGAAAGATGGCTCAGTGGTTAAGAGTACATTCTGCAGGTCTGGAGAGATGGCTCAATGGTTAAGAGCAGTGGCTGCTCTTGCAGAGGACCCAGGTTTGATTCCTAGCACGCACATGGTGGCTAGCAACCCTTCATAACTCCAGTTCCAGGGAATCCATTGCCTTCTTCTGACCTCCATGGGCAGTGTACGACATGGGTGCACTTACATACATGCAGGCAATACACTTATATACATAAAATAAAATTTAATAACAAAAAGACTGCAGCCTGCTTTTCCAGAGGCCCCGAGTTCAGTTCCAGCACCAGGTGATCCAAGTCCTTCTTCAGCTTCCAAAGGCACCTATGCATTCATGGCATATACCCAGAAGTACACACATACACATACATAAAAATTTTTTTTAAAAGCTGGGTGTGGTGGCGCACGCCTTTAGTCCCAGCACTCGGGAGGCAGAGGCAGGTGAATCTCTGTGAGTTCAAGGCCAGCCTTGTCTACATAGCAAGTTCTAGGCCAGCTGGGCCTACAGGGAAACCCTATCTCAAAAAGACCAAAAAAAACAAAAAACAAACTTCTTAAAAGAAATTAATTTTCTTATAGTTCTGGAAGTTAGAAATCTCAGATCCAGGTGTCAACAATGCTGACCACTTCCTTTTTATTAACTTTTAAGCTCACAAAATGATGAGTGTCATTCTGTGGTTTTCATGCACATTTATCATCATATTTTGCACAGTACAACTCTGACTCCAACCCCGTTGCCCTTTCTGTTCTAATCTAGCTGCTATTGAGTTGGTAGAAGTTAAAAATACCTTCTTCTGGGCTGGAGAGATGGCTCAGTGGGTAAGAGCACTGGCTACTCTTGCAGAGGACCTGGGTTCAATTCCTAGTACCCACATGGCAGCTGACAACCGTCCATAACTCTAGTTCCATGGGATCTGAGACCCTCTTCTGGCCTCCGTGAGCACTGTATGACATGGATACACTAATAACACATGCAGGCAAAATATTCATACACATAAAATAAATATCTTTGAAAAACTACTTTCTACTTGGAAACCCCTTCTATCAACTAATGATGAAGCCTGATTAGTCTTTATGTTTCCCATCAAATAAGATCAGGATTCGGCTCTTAGACCATCTCTTAGGTAGAAAGCACCAGTGGGATTCATAAACAAGACAGAACGCACAGGGTTGAGGAGACGTGGAAACGGGCAGGTTGTAGAGGACTAGATTCCTAAGGGCAGGCAGGGTGGGGTTGTCGGCTAATCCCAAGGTGTCTCAGGCCTGGGAAAAGCCGGTAGTGGGGAGAAGGGCTGCAGAGGAGCTAAATGCAGATGGAGCAAGTACCAGCCAGACAGTTCCGAGTGGGAGCCTAAGGAGAGGACAAGCTGCAACCCCGCGTCAATCCATTTCCGTTTCTTTCTTCCAGGCCCCTCACTTGGCTCACCTGAGAACAGGCATCAAGATGGGTGAGATGCCGCTAGCTGACAGCATACTCTGTGATGGTCTTATGGATGCTTTTCACAACTACCACATGGGTATTACAGGTAAAGCAGTCGTAGCTGCAAGGGCTAGCTTTAGAAAGGTTGAAAAGAGCCGTCCCAGTGAGTCCCGTGCACAGGCTCTGCGTCTGGTGACCATAATGCTCAGCATATGCTTCATACTTGCTTTGCTCAGGAAGCTGCGGCATGGAGAGACACCCAGAATCCCGGGAAGTGCGGTGTTGGACATTGCATGGAGTTCCCCAGGTAGCTTGTGTCTGCTTTGGCCCTGATGCCAGAAAGCTGGTCACAGTTGTAGGTGTCACTGATCAGAACAGGACTTTGGTGGATGCAACTTTCATGCAGGCAAGGAGAGAGGCTGTGCCTTTCAAGTGGACTCCGTTTCCATTCTGTCCTTGAAGGTCCATACAGTGCCCACTGAAAATATGACCCACACCAGACTGACCAAAAGGAGAAGTCAGTCCAAGTGAACAGCCACAAATGGGCTAAGATTGAAACCAAAGAAAGCAATGCCAAGATGACAGATTTGGGTCAAATTTTGAAGTCATAAAAGGAAAAGGTGGGCTGGGTGTGGTGGCGCACGCCTTTAGTCCCAGCGTGGTCTACATAGTGAGTTCCAGGACAGCTGGGGCTACAGGGAGACCCTGTCTCAAAAAGACCAAAAAAAAAAAAAGCAAAAGCTGAAGAGGACGGTAGTAAAAAACCACGTTAGAGGCCTTAAAGGGCAGCTCTCATGAAGATGTCTTCTAAAGCCATGTTACCAAGGCTGTAACTCAGCAGTACAAGGATGGCCACTGTATGTGGGCTGCCCAGACACTGAGGGTCAGAAGGCAACACATCCTCAGGAAGCTCAGAAGGGTTTGAATGTGGCAGTTCATAGGACACCTGTGCGGGCCGTCCTGTAACAGAGCGCCTGTGCGGGCCATCCTGTGGGAAAGCACAGGAGGCCACTGAGAGTGAAAGCTGTGTCACAGTCTCTTAGGGTACACCTCCTTACAGAGGAAGCCTGTCCTTGTGCTCTCAGTAGCCGTTCATGCACATAGAACCTCTGTGATGAATTGACATGAATAAAGTGTGCTCTAACTTGTGAGTCCTTGATAGGGAAGCATCTCAAAGTTCTTGATCAGTCCTTTTACCAAATGAGGAAGCAGGGCCCACAGACACTGACTTATAGAAGAGAAAATATCAGATAAGCAAGTAATACACAGTTAAGTCATTAGTTGTTTCTAGAAGGTCTTTGTGTCCTATGTTAATGGATAAAGGAACTGGGAAAGCAGACCTCAGTGTCTTTACTATATGTCGATAGAACTTAAATAGAAGTGACCCTGATAATAAAGTTAAATAAACCCTGAGGGGTCAGATGCAGCAGTGAGAAGTAAAAGTCATGAGAAAAAGGCAGTAGGAAGGGGAGTCTAGACAGAGGGGAGGGTGTGGGAGTACAAGGAAGGAGAGAGACGTGCAAATATGAGCTCGGGTGTCTCTGCTTCACTGAGATTCTCAGCAGGGAAGGCTGAGAACCACCAGCAGACCATGGATGGTACTTCAACTTGCCAAGACCCCAGGGCCCCAGTGTCAAGGCCACTTTCTCAAGTGATACCCAGACTAGCTGTCTGAACATCACCAGAGCATTGGTAAATATTTAGATCGTGGAGTTGGAGATGTGGTCAGTAGTAGAACACTTGTTTAGCATGTGTAGTATCCTGGGTTCCATCCCCCCAAAAAGTAGAAACCTGATGTCTACTTCTTTAATAAGGTGACCAAAATTAGCATAGAGTAAAATAAACGTATTACCTCAAACCTGGGTCCACTGCAAGAGCAGCCAGTGTTCTTAAATGCTGAGTCTTACAGGCTTCTGGGACCTTGCTCATATGAACTTACAACAATGGTGTCAGCATGCTCAAGACCCATGTAAACTCAAGCAGACAAAAACCCAGCACAGAACTGGGGAAATGGGCAGGAGACCCCAACCTTAACCAAGGAACCATTGACAGCTGACCACTGCTGGGTGAAGGAGAATTGATCTCTCTCTCTCTTTTTTTTGTCTTTTTGAGACAGGATCTCCCTGCAGCCCTAGTTGGGCTTGAACTCACAGAGATCTGCCTGCCTCTGCCTCTGCCTCTGTCTCTGTCCCTGCCTCTACCTCCTGATTACTGGGATTAAAGGTGAGCATCACCACGCCCAGCAAGAGAGAGCTGATCTTTAAGGGAGTGACACTAGACAGGCCTTAACATATATGACCAAATGCATGAAATTCTGTGGGTGGGCTCTGGGGTAGTGTAGATAGGGGAGGGGGTCTAGATATGATTAAGATGTATGAAATCCACAAAAAATAAAAAATAGACATTGAAAAAGTAGTCTACAGAAATAGAGATTTATGGTGATGTTCAGTATGTAGTCCTTTACCGGGTTCTGAGCAATAAAATGGTTTCCTTTTGAGACTTACCAGAACCATAAATAAAGTTGAACAGGGATCAAGAGTATTGATGTTAAATTTCGTGAGTACCACATTCATGCCTGGTGCCCACAGAGGCCAGGAGAAGGGGTCAGAGCCTCTGGAACTGGAGTTACAGGTGTTGCTAGTCACCATATGGGTGATAGGAACTGAACCCAGGCCCTCTGCAAGAGAGCAAGTACTCTTAACTGCTGAGCCATCTCTCCACCCCAAATTTCCTGGTTTAAAAAAATTTTTATTACTTTTTTAAATGTAGTGTGTGTCAGTGTGCTGTGTGTGCCATGGTGCACATGTGGAGGCCTGAGGACAACCTGCAAGAGTTGATTCCCTCCATATGGGTGCCCAGGACCAAACAAGTCATCATACTTGGCAGCAAGTGCTGCCATTCAGTCATCTACCAGCCCCATATTTTTTTGAATGATGGATTATGTGGGAAAATGACCTAGTTTGAGAAAAGTAAACACTGAAATTAAAATTCAGAGCTGAAAGGGTGTTGTATTTCCAGCTTTCCTCAGATTGTTCAGAATGTTTAAGCAAATGGGACAAAAATATCAATGGTGGTTGGGCGTGGTGGTGCATGCCTTTAATTGGGAGTTAGAAGCAGCAGATCTCTATGAGATCAAGGCCAGCTTGGTTTACATAGTGAATTCCAGGCTAGCCAAGGGTACAGGGAGACCCAGTCTCAATCAATCAATCAATCAATCAATCAATCAATCAGTGTTGAATCTGGACACAGATTTCTGAAAATCTACACTGCATAGAAAGGGGAGGGAGATGGAACAAAGAAAATGGCCTCCGCAGAGACGCTGTGGTTTCTTCCCAGGGCGCCATCAGGGCAGGCGGAATCGGCCTGCAGAGCGCCGCCTCTCCTGCTACCCTACCCGTGAGCTTGCTGCTGTGTGCTGTTAGCTCTGCTTTAAGTACAGATAACTTGAGCTGCCAAAACCAGCTCATGAAAATGTTGAGTTGTTGCCTTTTCTTTTTCTCAGCTGAAAATGTAGCCAAAAAGTGGCAAGTGAGCCGAGAAGACCAGGACAAGACTGCAGTTCTGTCCCAGAACAGGGCAGAGCGTGCACAGAAAGCTGGCCATTTTGACAAGGAGATTGTCCCCATGTTGGTACCATCTAGAAAAGGTGAGTATGTAAATCACAGTAAGCGTCATCCTATTCGTAGGTACAGGTTGTAGAATAGTATGTAGGAATGTTCATTGTAGTCTTCTCAGATTGTACAGGGACCCTTTAGACCTCTGACTATGGGGAGGGGGAATGGTATTTTGTTGTTTTGAGATAGGGTCTTGCTGTATATCTCTGGCTGACCTAGAACTCACTATGTAGATCAGGCTAACCTCTAATTTGTGATGATCCTGTTTCTGCCTGCTGAGTGCTGGGATTAGAGGAGTGTGCAGTAGCTGGGAAATGCTGTCTACACACGATCTGTTAAAATGGGCAACGGTCATCCTCAAAGTATCCACAGCTGCTACTGCTCTGTGTGTGTGTGTGTGCGTGTGTGTGTGTGTGTGTGTGTGTGTGTGTGTGTTTCCATGAGAAAGTGGAGCATTGGTTATTGTTTTTCGGTTGTTAGAAGACTACAGCTTCCCCATGCCCTTCAGAAGTGAACATCTGCCCGGTCTGGTTGCTCCTGTGTGCTCTTATGTTGACATTTCTGAAGGGTGCCTTTTTAAGATTTATTTTATTTATGTGTGTGCATATATCTGTGTCTGTGTGAGTATATATGTATGTGTGCCCACTGAGACCACAAGAGGGCGACAGAGACCTAGGAGCTGGAGTTAAAGGGTTTTAGGCACTGTTGGGTGGGTGCTGGGATCCAAACTCTGGTCTTTGCCCCTCTCTAGCCCCTTGAGGCTCTATCTTTTTAGGTTACTCACCATGATATAAAATACAACCTGTAGTCAGTTCTCTTCCTGATAACTGACATATTATGCCTAGTCCGTAAAGGATAGATTTAGACTACCTACTACACTCAGATGTAACCAGCTATATGCTGTGTATAATCCAAACTTTGTATATATAGCTCCCTGTAACTGCTTTGCAGCAAGACTTGACTCGTGCAGATTTAGCATGCAGTGACTCTAGGACTTTTCCTCCTTTGGAATGGGACTGAGTAAATGTTTACAGTCTTTCTACCAGTTGTGAATGCTCTTGTTTTCAGAAGCCCGCCAGTCTGGGCGCTCACTGCCTTCTCGATCTCATCTGGGGTTACTGGTTTTGCTCTTCACAGGTTTCACTGAAGTGAAAACTGATGAGTTTCCTCGCCACGGGAGTAACCTCGAAGCCATGGGCAAGCTAAAACCGTACTTTCTTACAGATGGGACAGGAACAGTCACTGCAGCTAATGCATCAGGTTTGATTTCTGATGGGCATTTGTAGAAGTACCATCTTCTACCTGTGACGGACCAGGCCAGACCGGGGCAGTTCAGTCTGACGGGAACAGGGTCGAGAGGGTGGACAAGGAGTTGGCGAGTGACAAACAGACACACATGAGCTTGGTGAAAGTCTGAGTGCAATTTTTGCAGTTGCAGCGTTTGAGATCTATACAGCAAAGATCACAAAAACCGCAGAACAGCCATGCTAAGATTTACAG